GGCTGGTCCTCGGCGGTGATGAGTGGAGTAGGTCTGCTAGGCTCGCCTTCGCCTTCCTCGTTCACAGCTCGCACACGGAACTGAGCCTTCTCTCCTTCCTTCATTGGAACAAACACTTCCGGTTCAGTGGTCTGCTTCACGGGCTCCCATTCACCATCCTCATTCTTTTTCTCTACGACGTAACCAGTCACCGGACTGCCTCCGTCTGACTTGGGTTTCTTCCAGGAAAGACGAGTTCCATTCTTCGTGACCTTGTCCACATTAACATCCTGCGGCGGAGATGCCGGTTCTAACCAGGATAAAAATGGTTACAATTAAAAAACTTAGCTAGAAACAGGACAGAGAAACTTTAACCATTGCTGCTGCTATTCAGTATGTTCCTTTCGTACCAATCTTATCCCGGACCAAATGTGGCATCGTGGCACGCGAGAAGTCACCCGGTCCGCCATCGTTGACAGCGGCAACACGGAATTCAACTTCCTTGCCCGTCTCAAGGTTTGGAATTATTGCTTCGGTTCCAGTTACGAGACCAGGAAGAGCCTTTTCCCAAGTGCCCTTAGCAGTTCGCTTCTCAACTTGGTAACCTGCAAAGAACCGGTGGAAATAGCTGTCAACTGGCAAGCACAAAAAACACCACCCCTACCGCTAGACAAGATACCATTGAATGCGCAAATTACCTTTGATCGGATTTCCACCATCCCCATCTGGCGGTTTCCAAGCCAGTGTGACCGAGCTTCGATCGTAATCTGTGATCTTGACTCCCGTTGGAGCGTCGGGAGTGTCTAAAATGTGAGTATATTTACGAATAAGTGACAGAGAAGATTTGAATGTACCTAGGAAATGAAAACACAGACTCTGAATGCGCTAACTCACCAAATGGATTTTTGGCCACAATTGCGAGCAGGGTCTCAGTTGGCTCTGAGGTGCCCAGGGGATTCACTGCGGAGACGCGGAACTTGTAGCGTTTGCCCTCAGTTAAATCACGGACATCAACGGAGTTGCCCTTGATAGGCCCTGGCACGCGTTCCCATGTTCCGGTCGCCTCGTCGCACTTTTCGACAACGTAGCCTGTTTACGATAGTAATAGTAAAGGATGTCAGTTTTGACGCATAGGGCAAGCGTATCGGACTAGCAAAACCTGCATAACAGCAGCATCGATTGTCCTGAATTGTTAAAATCAAGGTTTCGCGATTCGGAAGGAATACAAATGCATTTCGCTGGCTCGTGTTGTGTGTCGTCTTAAAAGAGTGCGCAGTACAGATGTGTGGGCAGTAATAAGAAAAGACTTAAATGTATTTGATCGGTCAGTTACCCTATTCTCAACCGTAGATTTAGTTTAGACAGCACTCGTAGCTATGTAGGCAGTTATTTAATCGGTTGCCATGATGCTGTACTATTTTCTCTCATGTATGGATGCAAATAACAGGTATGGACATCCTGTGTTGTCTTTTATTTCCTAGTTGGAATGGTAGGTTGGCCTCACCAATCGTCGAATCGTTATTATACATGTTAATTTTCACGAGATACTGGTTTTTCAACCATATCTGTCAGTGCTGGTAACCTGCATGCTATGCATTCACGTGCAGTCACTTGGCCGTTGATCGGAGATCCACTCGTCAGTCTACTGATTTCAGACAGGGACGAATAAAAATGGCAATGACAGAATACCGGCGAAACTGGTAGCTTGGCTTTTTAGTTGGTACCTGTTCGGTCAATGTGTTGTATCCCATGGCCACTATGTATACTTGCGTCTTCATAACCTATCAGCCACTGAGTATCTCAAGCTTTGCAAACACCCGCGTTCATGCTTATATGGGAAAAATTTATGATGCCCCCGCATGAATGAAGACAGTCAACCCTCGCCCATCGTTTGACCCACTCAAATGTACCATAACTGACTAACAGTTTTAAAAGTACATAACATTTTTTTATTGTCAATCCTGTTGAGCGACGTTTGTTAAACAGCGGATCAGTGCCCTGTGCTTTTCTGCTGAGAGAACGTGGTGGGCATGCTTCAAGCAACGTAAACCGCACCAGCAGGAAACTGATGTTTGGTTGGGGACAGGAGCAAAAAGTCGGAAATTTGGGGAAAACGAACGCAATAGACGCCAAATAGCGTACACACGCGCGGTAACTGGGAGTGATCCTGTCTTATCAACACCCTCAGCCAAATCAGGGCTCCTCACACAGACTATACTTTGAGCAGACCAGTACTGTTTTCTTCTGAGGAAGTGCCTGACCCACAGCATTTTATAACTACGCAGTGGGTGCCTGTGCGTGTGACTCACCTGTGATTGGAACGCCTCCATCAGATGCCGGAGGTTCCCACTCCACCTTGCAGGAATTGGCGCGGATGTCCTTGACAGTCACTTCCTCTGGCGACTGTGGCTTGGCTGAAAGCAAAAACCGGTGACAGTCACATTAACATGTAATTTTGCGTGCAACAGGCATCACCAACGTGATTTCAATCACACTCACTCTTCTTCTTGCAGACATTGGTCATCTCAGAGGCGAAGCTAGGCTGACCCGGGCCAGCCGCATTCACAGCGCGCACGCGGAACTCATAGTCCTGACCTTCCTCCAGACCCTCAATGTGCGCGTTCGGTCCAGTGACTGGTGCTGTCGTAGCCGGTGTCCAGTCATCATCACCAAGCTTCTTCTTCTCTACTATATAGCCGGTGATACGTGATCCGCCATCCTTCAATGGTGCCGTCCATGAGATGTCCACATGATCCTTATCCACGTCATCAATTTTCGGTGTACTCGGAGCATCCGGTGCGTCTGCGTGAAGAATAGTTTGCAAAATTAGCTCTTCCAGGTAGTTGGTTGCATAAAACACTCGTCAGGGGGAGGGGGTGTGCAAAACTGACGTCAAGCAAGTAGACGATGTTGGAAGAGTAAAGGATCATGTCAAAACTCACCGTATTTAGGTTTGCATAGAATTGGACGTGTGGCTTGGCATGGCTCTCCAACGCCAGCCTCGTTCTTCGCAGCCACACGGAAGACGTACTTCTCACCCTTCTTCAGTCCATTCACTAATGGAAAAGGCAAAATTAAAAGGAGCCATGTGAGAATTCGAACATAGGGAATGTTCATGCCTGTTTTTTGTTCCCCGTTTTGTGTCTCGGGAAATTTGGTAGGCTAGAGGTACTTCTGTAGGTCGCTTCCTATTTTACTGTAGCAGATCGAAAGCACCGGTAGTGCCCA